ATATTATTAAAGCAATCAATGTAATCTACCATTTTAGATACAAAAATTAACTAAAAATAGCTGGGCACAGTGTTGTATCCTGAGGTAGAGGCAGGAGGATTGCAAGTTCAAGGCTAGCCTGGACAACTTAGTAAGACCCTGTCTTAAAACAAAAAACAAAAAAAAAAAAAATTTAAAAAGGACTAAGGCTATAGCTCCATGGTAGGGCACCTGCCTGATATGTGTGACAAGTTCAATCTTCAGCACCAAAAATTAAAACTAAAAATAAGTCACATATTGAAATATAAAACTATGAATCCTTTAGAAAAAATACGAGACAATCTTTGAAATTTAGGGTTAGAAAAAACAATCCAGTCCCAAAATAGCCAAAAGACATTAAGAGACATTTCACAAAAGAGAATACACAGGGGCTGGGGATGTGGCTCAAGCGGTAGCGTGCTTGCCTGGCATGCGTGCGGCCCGGGTTCGATCCTCAGCACCACATACAAAACAAAGATGTTGTATCCGCCGATAACTAAAAAATAAATATTAAAAAATTCTCTCTCTCTCTCTCTCCTCTCTCTCTTGAAAAAAAAAAAAAAGAGAATACACAGATGGCAAATAAGCATATAAAAATATAATAAGCCATTAGGAAAATGCAAATCAAAACTACAATGAGATATCACTACACCTCTATCAGAATGGCTAAAATGAAACATAAGAACACCACCAAAAGTGGTGAGGATGCAGAGAAACCAGATCACTCATATGTTGCTGGTGTGAATATAAAATAGAACAGAGGCTCTGGGAAACAATCTGGCAGTTTCTTAAAAAAAAAAAAAACTAAATATATAACTATCATATGACTCAAAATTATACGCGAAGGCATTTATTCCAGAAAAATGAAAACTTATGTTCAGACAGAAATCAGTACACAAATGTTTACAGCAGCTTTATTCATAATAGCCAGAAACTGGAAACAACCAGACATCCTTCAACAGATGGATCATTAAAGTATAATATATTCATACTATGGAATACTAATCAGCAATAAAAAGGAACAAACTATTGACACATACTACAACCTAGATGAATCTCCAGAGAATTGTGTAAGTGAAAAAAGCCAATCCAGTAGTTATATACTACATGATTACATTTATATAAGACTCCCAAAATGATACCATTATGGAAATGGAAAACAAATTTATGGTTGCCAGAAGTTCTGGAGAGGGTGGAGCAGAAAGGAAGAGGGGTGACCTCAGAGGGGCAACAAGTGGCAATGGAAATACCCTTGATTGGAAATGCCAATGGAAATCTTGACTATATCAATGTCAATATCCTGCACGTGATATTATACTACAGTTTTGCAAGATGCTACAACTTCAGAAAACCGAGTAAAGGGTATGGAAAATCTCTATAATTATTTCTTACAACCGCTAATTATCTCAAAAAAAAATAAAGAAATGAATATCTAAACCCCACTCCAAAAAATTAAAAAAAAAAAAAAAACCACCTTGCTGTACCCACAGTCTCCATCTCAAATAATGGAACTCCATCATTCTATTTATTCAATCCAAAAACCCTGGAGTTGTCATTTTCTTAACACCTCACATCCAATCTGTTACTATACCTTTAAAATTTGAAGACTTTTCACCTGTCCACTGCTACTGTCTACTCCAAGCCTCACCTGTATTATTACAATAGCTTCCTAACTGATCTGGCTCCTTCCACCCTAACCCATGCTGTCCACACTCAACAAGATAGCCTGTAAAAATTTAAATTGGATGAGGTCACTCTTCTACTTAAAAAACCCTCCAGGGGCTCTCCCTTTCTCTCAAAAACCAAAGTCTATATAATAGTGCAAAAGATCTGGCCTGGTTAACTCACTCTCAGTGTCACTTGCTAATCTCCCTACCTGTTCCACCCCCACCACTTATTTAGCAAGTAGTAGGCATTTAATGTTTGTTGAATGTGCTCTTCATTCAATTCTCACCACCAACTACACATGGCATCCCAAGTAGTGTCTCTACACCTACCCCTGCTCCTGAAAAGCCCAGGAAACACTACCTGCTCTAAAAATACCTTTAATATTACCCTTACTAATGATGTAACTTCAATACCTAGTACCAAGTAGGAGCAGAATGTGTATTGTTCAAGAAATAAAAACTTAAAAGTAATACACAAATACCACACAGGAAAATAACTAAGAATTCATCTGATACATTTGATCCAAAGTAAATCAACTTCCTTGACCTCTTCTCCTTCAAATCAGAGAAGTTGATCCAGTTAGCTATTAAGAATTTTCAGAACAGAGACAACTCCTGCTTTATGGATTTAATTGCTTAGCTTCTACAAACATACACGTTACTCTAGGTGTCTAAATCTTCCATTTCTATCCTTTCCTAATTGGTATTACCTCTTTAGCTAAAACTTAACATTTTAAAAATAGGACTTTTTAAATTTTTCTTCTTTAATTTTTTCTTTTTAAAAAAAAATGACTTAAAATAAAATCATATTGGCATTTTTCAAACTTGAGAATGAAGAAGACCCTGAGAACTCACTCACATGCTGGTTTAAGAAAACTTGCATTAAAAATTAAATGTATTGGGGCTGGGGTTGTGGCTCAGCGGTAGAGCACTCACCTAGCATGTGCAAGGCCATGGGTTCAAACCTCAGCACCACATAAAGATAAATAAACAAAATAAAGGTATTGTTTCCAACTACAATTTAAAAAAATAAATATTTAAAAAAATAAATAAATGTATTACAGATTAAATTAAGGTGATCATTAGGGAACAAAGATAGCAAATGTAGAAAAGCAGGCACTTTTGAAACAGCTCAGCAAGGCTTGAACATAAGCTGGTCATCCAGTGATACAAAATGAGTATTTTTTTTTTTAGATTTTATCAAAACAAAAACATAAAACTTATGAATTCCTACACACTTCCAAGAATACACCAAGCACTGAAATTTTAAGAAATCTACTATGAAACAAATTTAAATAAACCTAATATGGTAACTTTCTGTAGGCTTATTTGAAATTTGAAACCCAACACATTCTAGATTTAAATTTTTTTATTATAAGAGTGATTACACTGACATTATTCCACATAAGGCATGCTTGCAAAAAAATACTTACATTACCCCAAACTTTATAAATGCTACACTACTGCAATGGAGCTTCTATAAAAAAACATATATGTTCATTTTCATTAAAGTTATTTTCAGTAGGAAATAATCTGAATTTATAACATTCAAAATAGGTATAAATAAAGACAATTTTAAAAGATAAAGATTCCCTAAAATCTTCACTATGGTTACAGCAATATTTAAGTACTCTAAGAAATAAAAACAGAGACAAAAGGACACCTTAATACTTCACAGTCCCCCTCATTTGCCCCTCTCCCCCAACACAAGATTTTCAACCAAAAAATCTATTTCTGTAACTACTTCCTAGCTATACAGACTTCTTAATCATTCCAGCTGGAAATACAGATATTCAAATGTCATTTTGTTCTAAGATAATCAAATGATCCAAACAATTATGCTACTCAAATACTTTAGAAACAGAAATACCAACATTAACCAGGGAAATCCTCCTTACATTTTACTAATGATGAAAGGGCCCTGGGAAAATGGATCACAATGACCACAGTCCTTCCCCTCAGACTTGCAAACAACTCTGGGAAGGCAATGTATTGTACTACCTTCAGTGTTTTTGAGGAAATATGTACCCAAAGCACTGTAGTAAAATGTATGGCTGGATGTTCACGATTGGCAAAGGAATAAATCTATACAGCATCATGGAGGGGGTGTGGTGGAGGAGGCCCATTTACCTCATGTCAGGGAAGGGAAAGAGAGAGAGGAAAAAAAGATAGGAGTTCCACAGTTCTCTTTAAGGGCGCCCCCCACTGGCATAACTTCCTCTAACAAGGTGCTCAAGAGGGCCAGGGCAAGCCCCTTGCTGCCTCCCACATGGCGGGGTACCATGCTTCCAATAAGAGGGTTTAAAACATTTTTTCACACTATTTTTCATCTGAAAACTCAAAAAAAAAAAAAAAAAAAAAAAGACTTTGGAAGAAAAGGACTGTGTCTTGGACTGAAAGAAAATCGAGACTACTGAACAAGATACTGCTAAATCATTCTAAATTCTTACTAGTGGATTTTTCCCCACTAAGTCTCAATCTTATCTACAAGGTAACGTCTGCAAAGAAGAAATCCTTTCTCTCTCAAATCCATTAAATTGAGGCAGTGTTGTCCTGGATAACCCAAGATACAGAGAAGGGGACCACAGTTTACAAATAATCTTTTTTTTTTTTTTTTGGTACTGGGGATTGAACTCAAGGACTGAGCCACATCCCCAGCCCTATTTTGTATTTTATGAGTTGCTTAGTGCCTCGCTTTTGCTAAGGCTGCCTTTGAACTTGTGATCCTCCTGCATCAGCCTCCTGAGCCTGGTTCCCAACCTTTTTTCTTTTTTCTTTCTTTTCTCTCTCTCTCTCTCTCTCTCTCTCTCTCTCTCTCTCTCTCT